TCCTTTTTCCCCTTTTCCTCTGGTTTTCTTAGTGTTTCTTCGTTGTTTTGTGGGTTGTTGGCCCTTTTGGATGAACCTATGGATGCATATTGAGCTGTGGAAGGGAAATGAGATGTTCAAGGAGGGTGTTTTGGCCATGCAAGAGCCGCGGGCACAACACTTTTTGCTGAAAAACAGCCAGGAACTCGGAGATGTCGTGCCGCGCCCTGGAAGAGGTCTCTCCTCCTTGACCCGCGGGCGCGGCACAAGGAGCCGCGGGCGCGGCATTTCGAGGATGCCTTTTTTCCCCTGATCCCAGACCGTGTCCTCACCTCAGCTGGAGAGGCCTCTCCTACTTTCAACCGCGGGCGCGGGCTCAGAATCTGCGGGCACGGGTTATTGGGTTAAGCAACTCCATACCCAGATTAGAGAAGGCGCGACTGCATGCTAGAGGGCTCTCCTTGGTGTTTTATTTCTGTCCTTTGTGATGCATATAAATAGCCCCTTATTTAAGTTTGTAATTATCTTTTATCTTATCAACATTTAGCCCTAATCTTAGAGAGAGAAAGTGGATTATTACTCAAGTTTCCTTTATTGTATTCAACTTTGATCAAGTTTAATCTTCAATCAAGCAACACTTCAAGTTTTCATCTTTCATTAATCCTCTTTTTAGTAATTTCTAATCCTTTCTTTTAGCTTTATTTATTTACTTTATTTTTGCTTATTTTCATTTAATCTTATTAGTTCATCTAGTTATATTTGATTTCATTGTCTTAATCATGTTTTGTTTTGTGTTTCTTGAGTTTATTTCTAGTTTTGATATTATGTTTAATCTCCTTTCTTTAGGGTAATTTCTTAGCTAGGGGAAGGGGGTGGAAAATATGTGTTGATATTGGAAGAATGATGATGGTTGGATTGAACTCATGCCATAAATTGATGAAAGACATGATTTTTGATAGCTTGAGATTATTGTAGCACTTTATTTGATGTTTTCTAGTTTAAATGCATGAAAGTGATTTGAACTAGATTAAGATCATCTCTATTTTAATGCTTGCATGAGAATGAGTTATTAAAGTGGAGTTTTATGGATTGTGCTTCTTTATTCTCTTGATTTGATTGTAACTAATTGGATGCATGAGAATGATCCTTATTAGTATGGACCTTTTTCATTGATTTTCCTAACTATTGCATGAGAATGAATTGTTTAGGTAAAATCGTGTGTTCTTTGGCATGTTCATCATGTTAACCATTATTGTTCCCCTCTTTTTAATCATGTTTGACACCCCCGTATTCCTAGCGTTGTTCTCTCTTGATTTTAATCTTCATTACCTTTGCTTATTTGTAGTTTTAGTGCTCTGTATTCAAAAACCAACAAAAACACTCCCCTTTTTACTCTTGCATTAGTGAAAATTGATGTTGAATGAGTGAGCTTCCTTAGTGGTTCGACCCTTTACATGCCCCTACACTTGTATTAGGGTAGTTTAGGAATATAAATGATTAATTTGATTAGGGTAGTAGTTTAACGACCTATCTAACCCTCGATCAAATTTTGTTGCCGTTGCCGGGGAAGCGGCTTGTTTAGCTTCTACTTTTGCTTTTGTTAGTCATTTTCCTTGCTTTTCTTTTTGTTTTGTTTGTTTTATCATCCTTGTAATTGCTAATTGTTTTCTTAGATTTGGTGAATGCTTAGGAGGTATCAAGGACCACCCACACATCAAATTGACCACGAGATCGACCGAACTTTGAGACAAGTCCGTAGGCTTTATCAAGAAGAGGGAAGAGGTATTGGTGATATAGTTGATAGTGAGAGTGATTCTTACTCTTCAAGTTTGCAAAGAGGATCAATGGTGGGACAAGAAGATGATGTTTTGTTTCGTGAGTTCGGAAATCTGGAAGATTATGAGCTCATGGGAAGGATTTTGCTACCCGTCACGGAAACCAACTTCTCAATCTATCCCCAATATACTAGAATGGTCCAATCAGAGCAATTTTCCGGAAGTGCAAGTGAGGACCCCATTGAACATTTGGACTGATTCCTTGAGTTGTGCGCGATGATGCAAACCAACAATGTGAGCCAAGACTACATTCGTATGCATCTCTTCCGGCAATCTCTCACCGGACGAGCAAAGAAATGGCTAAAGCAAGTAAAGCCTAACTCTCTCACAACATGGAAGGAGGTGGTGAAGGCATTCTTGAAGAGATTTATCTCCAAGGAGAAGACCGCCGAAATGAGAAGGAAAATCACATCATTTGAGCAAGAAGCCGATGAAAGTCTTGGTGAAGCTTAGGAGAGATTTAAAGAGTTGGTGCAAGCGTATCCTCACTATGAGTACAATCAAGGGTTGCTCATGCGGTTTTTCTACGACGGATTGGAGCCCATGTCAAGAGCCAACTTGGATGCGGGGGCGGGTGGTCAATTAATCAAAATCCCCCAAAATCTAGTTGAAGAAACAATAGAAGAGGTAGCAAAGAACTACTCTTGGGGGGGCCGAAGAAGGAATTCTCCAAAGAGAGGTGGGATTTACAAATTGGAGAAGGTTGATCAATAGCAACATCAAATTGATCAACTAACAAAAGGACTTTCCAAGTTGAACACGAGTGTGAGTGCAAGTGCAAGTGCAAGCGGTGGAGCAAGCTCCTCTCAAGTTAACTCTTTCTCTTGTCAAAATTGTGGAGGAACAAACCATGATACATCTTATTGTGGAGGTTTGAGCCCCGAGCATGTAGCGGCATACAACACAAGGCAAGAAGGATTTAGAGGAAGTGGCGGTGGAGTAGCTTGGAGACAAACACCACCCGGGTTTGCATCTCAACCTCAACAATGGAACCAACAAGCTCAACCTTCCTATAATTCCAACCCTCAATATCAAAACCCACCTCCATCTCAACACCAAAACCCAAGAGGAAGCTACCCAAGGAACAACCAATACAACAATTAAACCCAATCACCTCAAAGAAATCAAGAACAAGTACCTCAAGAGGAGCTAACACAAACTCAACTCCTTCAAGCCATGCATGCACAAATGAAAACTTTTTGGCAACAAATGCAAGAAATAAGAGCTCACAACAAGATGGTTGATTCACAACTAGCTTAATTGGCCGAGAGAACTCATTTCAATTCACCATCTACTCTACCCGGACAACCACAACCTAACCCTTCTCACAACTCAAAACCCGATACATGCAAGGTGATTACATTGAGGTCAAGAACTTCCTATGAAGGACCAAATGAGGGGGATAGTGAGGAAAAGAAGGGAGGAGAAGAGAGTGTGAATGAAAACAAGAGAGGTGGGAAAGAAAAAGTTGATGAGATAGAAGGAGGTTCGGAGAAGAAGAAGCTTGACAATGAAAAGACAACTTCAATTCCTAGCGAGGCTAGGAATCTTGATGGACCGTTTCCTTTTCCTGGTCGACTTACGGAGTGGAAGTTGAATGAAAAGTTTGCGAAATTCCTTAGTGTAGGGAATATTTCAAGCATTACCCCTAGCTTGAACCCCACTGTGATCATACACTAAAGTACGGTGGCGTCCAAAGGGAAAGAAGATAGAGCAAAAGAGTCGCTGTAGACACCCAAATGTGTCTCCCCAAAACCAAACCCGGTGATGAGTACCTTTCGCGTCGAATCATAATCGAATGAAGTGAAAGTGTGGAAAGTCTAGTGTTGCGGAAAGTTTTTTATTTTCTTTTCTCTTCTCTCTGTTTTTGAAAACTTATTATAAGAAAACAGCCAATCCAATTTGGTTGGTCCATGATATGGGTCCAATAGTAGTGTAGTTGGATGGGGCTTGCAAAGATCTTTCCAAGATATATTATAGGCCCAATTCCGATGAATATTGAGGAAGTTATGGTCAATTTACCAAACTGGGCTTTATGTACGGCCCAATGATCTAGGGGAGGGCCTAATATGATTTATCATTCCTAATGCAATTAGGAATGGTTTTAGTCTTCTAGATTCTTCTAGAAGGTTCTTTTCATTCCTAATTCAATTAGCATTGATAAATTGACTTTTGTTGACTTTTCAGAGTTTTAATCAAAATCAAATAGCATTTTCAAGGAAATTATATGATTTTATCCTCCAGTACGGCAAACTTATCTGATTTTCGAAAACGCGTTGAAATTAGGCCTGGCGCCTAACCCCAGGCTTTGGCGCCTGGAACCAGGCCTGGCGCTAGCCATTTGCGCCTGACGCTAGTGTTGGTGCCTGGCGCCAGCTAGCCAAGGTTGGCGCCAGCTCTGTTTTTTATGCGTCAGACTCTGTTTTGTTTAATTTATCTTTTTGGCTGATTTTCTCTATAAATAACGTATTAAAAACTCCGTTTTCATTCACCTACGATCAGTTTTCATTCGCAATCATTAATTCTCTAATTCTCTCTTTAATCATTCACCAATTCTCACGAATATTCATCGACAATCAGTTTTCTAATTCTCTCATTCATCATCTCTCTCTTTCTCTTTTCAAAACTTTGTTTTTTCATACAAAATTGCGCATTCGCAAGATCTAGAAACACCTAGCCATATTCGAAGTTTCCTTCGCCCTAGACGTGAAATGTTTAATTTCTGAGGGTTTGGTCCCAAATCTCTATTTCAATTATTTAATTTAATTGTTTGTTTATTATTTTCCTTGAAGTTACTAACGTGTGTATTTTGTAATTAGAAAGAGGTACGAAGCATCAAAGTAAGTACTTTAATGGTTTTATTGATATTATGATGTAGAAATCATGTTTAAATTGTTATTATGATATTCCTAGTATCATGTGTAGGGTAACTTTAATATTAAATATGATTGTTACGATGCTTCCTATGTTCTTCCTAATATTTATGATTGTTAGTACCATGTTAGGGTTAGCTTTGATTTTTATTGCTTAGTGACATGCTAGGGTTTGTTATTAATCTTGTTAGTATCATGCCTAGGATCTTGCTATTATTATTATGCTTTAATATTAACATGAACATGAACGTGATTATGATTATAATTATTATAAGGATATTTTGGATTTTAACACCTTACAAAAGGCTGAAAATGTTTTTTAACACCCCCCAAAAAAAAACTTTTATTTTAACACCTCCCAAAAATATAAAAGTTGGAAGTTAACACCAGTTAACGATTTCCGTCACGGAAATTTAACGTGGGTCCCACAAATTGGCTTGAACTTCAATTTTCACCCAGCAAAACACGAAACTTCTTTCTTCATTGAATTCGCAGCAACCTTCTGCATTGAATTCTTTCTGAACCTTCATTGATTTCGCTTTTGAACCAAAGGAGATCTTGGCTGAGAAGTGGAGTGTAGGGTGGTGTCAACGTTGGAGAAGATAAGCTCAGGAGGGTTTCTTCATCATCTTCTTCAACTACAAAAGTGCGAAAGCCGCTTGAAATTCACAGAAAATAAGGTAAAATTGCTCTCCTTTGATAGCAATTTCGTCAATTACTGGTGCTTCATTGCTGTAAACCTTGCAATAATTGGGTAATTAGGGTAAATTTTGGGACCACAGTAGGAAAGCCTTGATAAATCAATTTCTGTAACTGACTATGCGACTTAGGTTAATTGGATTTCGTAATTGAAAGTAGAGATTAATTAAGGTGGTTTATTGTTAATTAAACTAGCAAGTGTGGTTTGTTGATTAATTTATGTTACTGAGCACCTACATTGGCTTGTATATGTTTATTTTCAATTTTTTTATGTGTTTGTTTGTGTGGCTGTGATGGATTTGTTTATTCGTATTGTGCATGTATAGTTACATGGCTTTTAATATGTTTTATATGTTTTTCACTGGTGGGTAGATAATGGGTGACAAGGATAGTTTGGTTGACATCTGCCTTAGAGTGGGAGGTGCTTTTGTCCCTAAAAGAGTAACCAAAAACAGGCAGCTGCTGTGTTGGTGTGGTGGTTGGTGTTACTGGAAGAGGAAGGTTCAAGTATCTAAGTTGGATGTGCATTTGATTAGAACAGCTGCAATTCATGGTTTTGTTAATGGTGATATGGATGTGCCTATGCATTACAGCTGTTGGTATAGGCAGAAGGGGAAAACCTTTAACACTGGGAAAAGGGAACTAGTTAACAGTGAAGAGGTTAAGGGCCTTTTGGAGACAGTAAATGAAGAGGGGTATGTTGAGGTTTTTGTAACAACAGAAGCTCCTAGTCAGCCCATACAAGAGGCCCAACCCAATCCTGCAAAGACAAAAAAAAAGGATAAGAAGGTAGAAAGTTCAAATACATCGACTATTAGGAGGAGCCCTAGGTTTAAGAAGACAGAAACTGAACAAAGGGAGGAGAGTCCACCTAGGAAAGCCTCAGCTAATGCTAAAGTGTTGAGGTTTGATGAAGAAAAGGATGATGGATGTGAAGGATCTGGTTATTCAAGTTCAGATTTGAGTGATGAGGGACAAGATTGGGAACCTGGTGAAGAAGAATTTGATGAAGGGGATGAGGAATGGTATATTGAAGGGTCAAAGGAGATCTTGGCCAAAGTGAACAAGAGCCTTAGGAAAGGTTTGGAGAGTGCAGTAGATGACAGGGTTGGCAAAGATAAGAGAGTAGAGTTGAGAAATGATTTGGATGTTGGAAAACCGAAGGTGAATCCAGAAAGTGATGCTGATTCAGATGATTCAAGGAGTTTGTGTGGATCTGATGAGGAACAGGACTATGCTCCTTGGTTTAATGCTGATGTGGACTTTGACAACCCAATCAAGTTGAAGTTAAATCAGAAATTCAGTAATGCTTCAGTCTTGAGGAGGGCCTTAAGACTTCATGCCATTCAAAACAGGTATGAGTTCTACTACTTGCATAATGACAGTAAAAGGATTACAGTTCAGTGTAGATATAGATGTGGCTGTGAGTTCAATAGCTACACTTGTAGAATGCCTGCTTGTACATGTGTGGGGGGGGTAAAGTGTCAGTTCAAGGTGTTTGCATCAAAACTTGTTAAGCAGCAAACTTGGCAAATCAAAACCTTGAATTTAGACCATTCCTGCTTCAGAGTAAAGAAGAACAAGATGCTTACTGCTGAATACATAGCAGAGAGGTATTTAGAAGAGTTTAGGAGTAACCCTGGTTGGAGAATTAAGGAGATTAGGGCTAGGATTTTGAATGATTTAGGAGTTGATGTGAGTTACTATAAGGCATGGCTAGCTAGGTGTAGGGCAAAACTACTGATATTTGGTTCAGCTAGGGAGCAGTATGCTAGGGTGTGGGATTATGGGAAAGCTGTGATGAAGTACAACCCTGGTTCAGGGTGCAATGTTGTTGTTGATGGTATTGACAGGCCAGAGCCACCATTGTTCATGAGGATGTTCATCTGTTTAAGGCCATTGAGAGATGGATTTGCAAAGGGTTGTAGGCCTTTAATAGGGTTGGATGGTTGTCACCTCAAGGGTGCCTTTCCTGGGCAAATTCTGGTGGCAGTTGCTAAGGATGGGAATAACAACTTGTTTCCTCTAGCTTGGGCCACAGTGGAGATTGAAAACCAGGAAACTTGGGGTTGGTTCTTGGAATCCCTTATGTCAATGTTCACACATGATCAAGGAGCTGGGCTGACCATCATGTCTGACAGGCAAAAGGTAATGCTTCTGTTTCCCTCTTAACTATTTAGGTTCAATTTCTAAGTTTTCATGTGTATGTATGTGATTGACTGATGATTATACTTTTGTCTGCATTTGGTAGGGTTTGATTAAAGCAATGGCTGATGTTATTCCCAAAGCTGAGCAAAGGTTTTGTGTGAGGCATATTTGGGCTAACTTCAAGCTCAACTTCACTGGATCAACCTTTAAGGAGCTGTTTTGGAGAGCAGCTAGGGCCACCACCATTGTAAGTTTATTGATTGTTGAAGCTAGCCTATGCTTTTATATGACTGTTGGTATGTTTTTATATTGGTTAGCTTGTATATGCTTGGTGTGATTTCTGGTATGCTTTTATATGTCAGTTTGAGCATGAAATTGCCATGGAGTCTATCAAATTCCTCGATGAAGAGGCATATGAGTATTTAATCAACATTCCTCCCCACCATTGGTCTAGACATGCATTCACACCAAACTGCAAGTCCAACATGTTGTTGAACAACATGTGTGAGACTTTCAATGCAGTCATTAGGCCTGCCAGAGATAAACCTATCCTCACCCAAATGGAATGGATGAGGAGGTATATTATGAACAGGAATAATGAAAAGTGGGAGGATTCAAAAACAATTACACACAACTTAGTGCCATATGTGAGGCATGTTCTGGGGAGGATAGACTTTGTGGCTAGGTCCTGTGTGGTGCAGCCATCCAGAGGGAATACATTTGAGGTGCAGCTGAAGGATGACCAGGTGTTGGTTGATTTGGACAAGGAGACCTGCACATGTTACCATTGGGAACTCACTGGCATTCCATGTGTTCATGCTTATGCCTGCATATTGGATATGAGGGGTGACATAGAGGCTGTTGTTGACCCATACTATACCATGGACACATACAGGTCTGCTTATGAACCAGCTGTCCAACCAATGCCTGGCCCAAAGCACTGGGAGAGAGTCAGAATGAGGGAACCACTACCCCCTTCTGTTAAGGTGCAACCTGGGAGACCAAAGAGCAAAAAAAAGGAAGCTTGAGCCAGGAGAATGTTCTTCTTCAGGTGGTCAGGCAAGTACCAAGAGGAAGAAGCAATGCAGCAACTGTGGGGGATATAGGCATTATGCCAAGACTTGCAAAGTACCTGCTGCACCAGCTACAGAGCTGATAAAGTCAGCAGGCAGACCCCCACTGAACACTCCTTGGATGGTGGAGGAGAGGAAGAAGAAAGAGATTAGGGCTGCTAAAAAGGTAACACAAGCATTACACCAACTCCCCCTTTGTTTTATATATGTATGTGTCTTTTCCATTGACTTTTTATTTTTATATGCATGTCATAGAGTGCAATTGGGGCTGGACCAAACAGCATAGGAAACAAAAAGTTTCCTCAAGAGCAAGAAGGTTGTCTGCCATTCAGCAAGCGCCCACAGCCACAGTCTTCCTCAGCTAAGCATTCCTCAGCTCAGCCATCCTCTAGTCAGCCATCCTCAGCTCAGCCTTCCTCAAGTCAGCCTGCCTCAAGCCAACCAAAAAGAAAGACAAGGTCTTCCTCAAGTCAGCCTACAACAGCCACAGGTGTTGTAACAAGGGCCAGGCTGCAATCCCTCAACAACCTTACTCAGTGATGTACTCATGCTGGATATCAAACATTATGTCTGTTGAACAATTTCAAACTTTTATTATGTACTCATGACTGGTTATGTAACTTGCTAGTTTTTTAGTGGCTTCCCTTAACAAATTTGAACAATTAGATATTGAATTGTAATGGTTGCATGGCTTTGATTGCCATTGAAACATGTTGAAGTAAGGTTCTTTTGTCAACCTGTACTTGAACTATCTTAGTGTTTCACATATTTCCCATGTTTTAATGTTTCACATGTTTAAATAGGTTGATTAAAAGACAAGGCATAAATAGGAACTTAGACAAGGCATAAATAGGTTGATTAAAAGACATATTTATAACACTTCAAGTCATTACAAGAAATTATAACTACTTAATACAGCTTACTATTACACACCCCTAGCCATTAGGAAAATTACACCCATTGACAAACCTATACAAATGGCCATGCCCACCCAACCAAAACAGCTGATTGAAGACACCTTCCCTTCATTGCACTCCCTGTTCATTCTCTTCCTGTCAGCGTTCAAGGCCTTGCATCTCATCTTCAAATTATCAACTTCATTAAGTAGGCACCTCCTTTGGCCACTGATTTCATCAACTTCCCTTTTCAATTCATTAACTTCACCCTTTAGCAGCTTCTTATCCAACAACAGGTTGTTGATAACCCCTGTTTGCCAATCTGTTCCATCAGGTTGATCAACCCATTCGAAAGCTTTGCAACCCCTTGTTTCTGTTATTGGGTCATAAAACTTACATGATATGAACTTCCTGCCTGGATTCTCCCTTGTCCAGCTAGTGAGCTTGGCCATTGGCACACCACACTTACATTTTCTGGCCTCAGGAGGGGAAGAGCTAACAAACGACATAATCTGCATCAATTTTAGATCGACAGTCACATTTACAGATTTGTACACTGACGAATTAACATTGACAGCAACAAAATTCATTTTTAATTTCATAATACGAAAAGCCCCAAATTCAATTTCTGACGAACCCTAATTTCGCAATTGGGCATTTAGATGCGTACATAACATAATCCAACCATTAATCTGAGTACGAAACAATTGCAAATAATAATTGAAGAGAATTTAAACCATAATTACCAAACAACCGAACAATTGACCGCACTCACCTGTTTCAGCAGCTTCAATCTGTTCCTCTTCTCAAAAATCGTGGAAGAATCGTGAAAGAATTGTTTCAAGTATCGTGCAACAATGCAATGCGCTGCTGCTATTCAATAAGAACAACGATTTCGTTCATTGGGGGAGAATCGTGCAAGAATGGTTCTTATATATCGTGCAAGAATCGTGGAAGAATGGTTCTTATATACAGATCTTTTAAAAATATATCCGTTGGGGTGGGCCCCACTAACAGTTCTGTTAACGGAAGATGGATTTTGGTGTTAACTTCCAACTTTTATATTTTTGGGAGGTGTTAAAATAAAAGTTTTTTTTTGGGGGGTGTTAAAAAACATTTTCAGCCTTTTGTAAGGTGTTAAAATCCAAAATATCCTTATTATAATTTATGATGATTGTGAATATAATTATTATTGTTATTTTGATGATGATTATTTTATTTATTATTATGATTATTATTATCTTGATTATGATTATAATTTTATTGTCATGATATTTATTAATGTTATGTTGCTTGATATTTATTGTTATTGCTTGATCACGCCTTTATGCATGTTTAAAGAGAATTGGTATTTGTAATCACGCTTAATAAGATATTTAATAATCTTGTTAGGGTTAATTATGATTATAATTTCAAGTGATCGCCAATAATAGTTTATTTGTGCATTAATATTCAACCAACATAGATAAATAGGTTTAGGGTAATCCTATTGATTGCATGTTAATTAAAAAGCGCACATAAATACGTTCAGAATAAAGTAGAGGCCTATTATTAGGGCAGGTTCAATCTCTTTTAGGTTGGATTTGTACATTCATCCCCGAACCCTTATTTGGTTCTAGACCTTATGGAGTTGACAATCTCTTGGATCGTTAAGGGGTGTAACCTTCACCCTGTAAACGGTTTACAAGTTCCTAAAAAACTTGTTGGCGACCCTTTTGCTCTATCTTCTTCCCTTTTGGACGCCACCGTACTTTAGTGTATGATCACAGTGGGGTTCAAGCTACTGGGATTTAAAGCTTGAAATTATTCCCTACAGTTTTTGGCGACTCCACTGGGGAGGATTTCTATTTTAATTCCTGAATTTGTTTCGGCAATGATTTAGAATGAGTGGATGTGACTCGAAACGTTTTAAGTATTTCATGTGCGTAATTTTGATTAACATTATTGTCATATGCATAAAAAAGATCTCATTGGAAAGAACATTCGTAATGAGTTAAAAACATAGGGTTTTACACGTAGGAAATTTGAGAAATATCTTTCACAACTAGGACTGAAATAACACCGCACGAAACTGGAAAATTTTATCGAGCACAGAAAGCTGTTGAGGCATGTGGGAAGTAGCGTCAAGGGCCAGAACTTGGTGCCAGCATTTTAGTCGTAGCGCCAGATGCCAGTATTGGCGCCAGGCACTGCAGTTAAAAGCTGGCGCTAGTCTCTGTTTGCCGGCGCCAATTTCCCCCAGTACCGAGCCAGAAATATGCGTTCTAATTTCGACCGGTTTTTCGTATTGTTTGCTCGATCCTACTTCCTAATTGAATTTTTTCTCACTTTTCTGAAACCCATATGTGTTCTACATATGGACATAACCCTCTGGGAATTCATGCTCCATCTACCCGATTGAACGCTCCGTGTAACAAAGGGTACATCCGAGATGTTGAATTCACTAAACCATGGAAGCGAGTTTTTTCTAAAGCTCGCGGTGTCCCATCCACTCGCGCCAATCCTTCACGGTTAGGCTTCCGCGCGGTGCATCCGGACAATTAACCATGGACCCTCTATTGACTAAACCATATCCCGAACTTTAGAGAACAAGAGCCATGGTTAGGTTGCAAACTCATTGCATCATATTGTACCTACTTGACTAATTGTGCATTATTTGTTGTGCATATACTCTATGTGATTTTTTCCTAACCGTTTGTTTGACTTGTGTTAAGACTAAATAAACTGATTAATGACTAAAGGACTTTGTTTATTTAATTAATTAATTAATTTGAGCTAATAAATAAACATAAAATCGAGTCATAGTTCCTTTAAGTCAACCCGGATTTTTATTCCCGTATACTGCACAAACGTCAACTTGTTTTGATCATATCCGGAGTTATAAGAAGAAATACGAGTCGTACAACATATGGATCTGTAGCCCCGAGCTTTATCTATAATTTGGCGTTGGTTTAATCCAAATCAGAGTCACAGATCAAAAGTTATGACTAAAATACCACAGTCTGTCCAGTTTAATGCATATACGTGAGGTCTTAACTTAGTATTTAATCGAGTCTTAGTCACATAGTCTAGCCACATGGTCATGACACAAGTCTTAACATGTCACATACACTCACTAGTCATAGCACGCACTTTTTATATGTCACCATGACCATGTCCTAGGTTCATGCATGAGTCGGTCTTTTCTGTCATTTGAGTTGGGGGGTACATTCTATTCCTAATTCTTCATATCCTTCCATCTACATCATTATTCCTCCATATTCTATTCCATTTTTTATTCACTTCCTCCATCCATTACATGTTGAATAAAGTTTGAGTCAAATAATTAACAATAAATATCCCCAAATTCCTTTTCCACAGTACTTGGTCGAGGAGAGAAGGGCGATTAATCAAGGACAACCTCTTTATTCAAGTTTCACTTTTCGATAAACCGATTCGTCAAAAGAGGAAGGCTAAAAGGATAATGGCAACTCAAGAAGAAGACAATGATCTTAGGAACCAATTAGTTACCATGACTGAAACACTAAAACTTCTCACCCTCAAGGTCGATGATCCCGTGAAGCAACAACAAATGAACCTCATGCAAGAAAGTTTGAGGAAGCTATCTAGTGACTATAAATTTCAGGGCATGATTTCACAAGGGGTCTCGCTGGACAAGGAACTTCTTCCGCATAAGTTCAACGCCACTGACATCCCAAAATTCAGAGCAACTGACAACCCTTACTTTCATCTAAGAGCTTTCGAAACCATAATGAACATTAAGGGTATCGATAAGAAGGTTTTCCCCTCTCTATTCTCACTATCTCTTGAGACCGTTTGCCAACAATGGTACTTCTCCCTTGACAAAGAGAAAACCTCTACTTGGGAATCGATAGTAAACGCTTTCATTAATAGATACAAGTGCAATATTCAAGTTGAAACCGACCATAGACAACTTGAGATGCTAAGATAAAAAGAGAATGAAGGTTTTACTTCTTTCTTTAATAAATGGAGGGAAACTTCCGCTAAGATGATTGAGGTCTCCACCGAAAAGGAGTCTGTGAGGATGTTTATCAAGAA